GAGAAGGCGATATAATTTTGAACTCTATAGACTTTTTGGTGATGCAGATATTGTGAAGACCATCAAAATAAACCGCCCAAGGTGGCTGGGCCTCGTTATGCAGATGGATGAGAGTGATCCCACTAAAATAACTATGCTAAACAGGACGGTCCGAAGAAGAAGAAGGGGGCGACCTAAACTCAGATGTCTGAACGATGTACAGGAAGATCTGAGGGAGATTGGAGTGAGGGGCTGGAGAAGGCAGACACTCGATAGGGAAGGATGGAAGAATGTTTTGAAGTAGGCCAAGGCTCACGAAGGGCTGTAGCGCCAACTGATGATGATAGTCCAATACATATAGTACAATAGTTGTAGGTGAAACCGCAAATACTAATATGGATGCTATTACCGCCAGCAATATTGATCAGTCGGTAAATAAAGACCAGATTGTGGAAAACCATACAATTAATATTTCTGATGCAACTCCAAGTAGTAGTTCTTTAAAAATAAGTTTTGAGGAGCTGCTATTAAACACTTTAACAGACAAATAGGCAAAGTTCTTCGGGTTCAAAAAGAAAAAAACTAGCTGCAGGGACAGAAATATCGTTACTTCAGAAGAAGTTCTGAATAAACTTACAGAAGAAAATAGATTGAACAACATAAAAGAAATAGAAAAACAAACAAAAGAAGAAGAACGCAGAAAGAAAAAACAAGCAAAAATTCAAAAACCGAAGAGGATTAAGAAACGGGAAGAAAGTTTTAGTAGCTTAGAATCGGAAGAAGATATGGTAGAATATGTTGACTCTAAAGATTTTGATCCTGAAATATTTGAAGAAAACGAGCAAATAATTGAGAAAGAAGTGCCAACACTTGGAGAGATGGGAAAGACCCAAATCGCGCTGGATATTTGGGTTGTAGAGTGTACATCCAAAAAGCATATTAAACATTTTATTGGAAGAATTGATAACAAGATTAAAAATGAATGGAAAATTTGCCTTTTAAGATATAAAATAGTAGTAACACCTTTTTTGGTCTGATATAGAAAACACGGATATGATAGTTAAAGACGATATCGTAAAAACTTTACCAGAACACGTTAAAGACAGAAAGTATCATTTTATTTTTGACGTAAATTTTGTCGGGTTGATCCTTTAAATCCTAAAAAGTTTGTAACTTGCTTAAAAATAAATAAATTAAAATTTTTAAAACACTAAAAAATTCGTTTTTTCTTGCACTTTTAAATTATTTACACTTGCCCCAAAAATAACACATGCTGTTGTAAGCTAAAGTCCATTGTCACACTAATCTCAAATTGACGGGAAAGTGTGAACCATGGATACTTAAAAAATATTTAACATAATTTCCACATGTGATGTTACGAACATGCCCAAATTTAAGCATATTTAGTAAAGTCCGTAAGCATTCCATGAAAAAAATCTCACGACTTCTCCAAAACATCTCCTAAATCATGCAAAATATTTCATAAAAATCATCTAACTGAAAACTAGTTCACACTTCGACGGGTTCACCATCATCACAGTATAAAGAGCTTCCACAGTAGTAGAACCACTCTCTGAAAAATTGGAAGTAAAGTCTGTCAACGCGCAGAGCGACTGCGCTTATTTCTTAGTCGCTCGAGAACTTACTATTCTTCCGTTGCTAGTCGCGTAGAAACGTACGGGTTAACAGTGCCGTATTTTGCTTGAACTGAGTTAGTTTTGTGAATAATTGTTAGTATTGTGAAGTTGAACATGAGTAAAATTCGAAGTGGTATTAATAATCTTAAACTTCCAAATTTGTTAAAAATATCTGCCGATAGACCATATTTGTATCATGAAAATAATAAAATTGTCTTTTCTTTTGATACACCTCATTTATTAAGAGCACTTCATAATAACTTCATAAGAAACAAATTTGTTATTGATGATATTATCGTTTCTTGGGAATATATTAGAAAATTTTTACGAACATAATAAACAATATCCTATACGTACAGCGCCAAAATTGACCGAATTACATACATATATCTCCTAACAATTTTGAAAATATGCAAGTGAAATATGCTTCTCAGATATTTAGTAACACTGTTGCTGCCGGTCTGCATCTGTATATTAGATTTATTGTATTCGTCGAGGAAGCAACAAGAACCGAAAGATTTATTAGGAACATTAATAATTTATTTGATATGCTCAATTCTTCTTCATTAAGAGGAGCAACTGAGTACCAAAGACCGTATAGAGGAACCGATGCTTAGCAAGAATTTCTTAATGCGTGTTTCTGATTGTTTAATAATTTACAGGTAATTAATTTTAAAGCTAAAAATGTAACACCAAGAATAAAATATGTTAATGGTTGGAAAATAACCATTAATGGAGTGATTCATTTGTGGAATCTACTACAGTTACATGGAATGGATTATTTTTTAACAAGGCGGATGAATCAAGATTGGCTAGAAACCTTTTTTGGTTCAATCAGGCAGCAAGGTGGCAATTGTGTTAACCCTACTCCGGTATAACTTACCGCAGCATTCAAAAGATATTTTTGTTTAGACATGATGCATTCCGGTACAGAAAATTGCGAAAGAGATTCAGGCCATATTTTGTTAAATTAAACCGATATATGTACCGACGATTATCTGCCTGAAACCACTGCTTTGGTTCCTGAAAACACTTTGGATGACCAAAAATATCAAACTTCAAATAAATTACAGACAAACTTCACAAGATATATATATATATATATATATATATATATATATATATATATATATATATATATATGTGATATATATATATATATATATATATATATATATATGTGATATATATATATATATATATATATATATATATATATATATATATATATATATATATATATAGGGAGCTATATATATAGCATATGGGAGAGAGTACGATGAACTACACGAGTCGTCTCTGTTTTGTTACGTTAAAGCCTACAGTGGTAATGAAACAAACGTTTTTGGCAAGCTCTATATGCCGAGCCAAAATTTTGTGCAGTATGTTACAGATTTGGAAATTATTTTTCAAGAGAATTTTCAAAATTTTAGTCATCAACCGAAAATCTTACAAAACTACGTTAGCTTATTCGAAAAAATACCATATACGCATCATTGCAGCAATTTTCCAAAGGGCTATCTCATTAGATTATAGGCTAGAATGAGAATATATTACACATTAAAAATAATTAATAGAAATTTTAAAGTATCGTAAGTCAAAAGGACATAGGAAATAAATAATTTGGAAACATAATTAGCATTAAAACGTGTTGTTTGTTTGGGTTTATATAACTGCGGACACTAAATACATTCTCAAATTTTAATTTTTGTTTTTTTTAATTTAAAAATGCATTTGACTAGACTATCTCTGGCAGACATCCTGACATTGCAGATGCTTTGTTGATCTGACTCCTCACGTCCTTACTAGGACACAATTTAACTTGAAAAAAATAATTTTATTACCGTTTCGACTTCCAATTCGGACGTCGTTGTCAAAATACAAAATAATAATTTATTTTTGTATTTTGACAACGACGTCTGACTTTGAAGACGAAACGTTAATAAAATTATATTTTCAAGTTAAATTGTAGCTTATTTCCGAATTAGAATAGTTGATATTCGTTTATTTTATTAAAAAATTGTTGAAATTATTAAAAATAAGAAAGACGAAGAGAATTTTTTTTATTTAAATTTGTGTTTAAAAATCACCACAAAAGATCTTTTCAGCAGTTTGAATTTTAATTGATGTATTCTTGCACATTACGCGATTGATTTGACGAAAAGACTATTGCAAAATTTAATTAATTTTTTGCAGACTACAACTAAAACTAAACGAATAATGCAGAAAACACAAAAAATCGCCGATATAACCAAATTCACCTATGAAATGTAAATAAGGACAAAATTTCATAAATGTCAAAATTTCATAACAGTGGAGTAAACTTGCCTGTCGTTGGACGAATTATAAACAAGCGTTATGACGCGGTAAACTTGAATTACTCCTCCTGGTTTAAAAACAGAGTATAGTAATGCCGATGCCGTGAGAGCTTCGAAATTAACCTCCTTTTTATTTAACGTTTATATAACATGTACAATATATTAAAAACCATTGAGATTTAAAAACTTGCGCAATACAGTTGATATTTAAAATACCGTTGAAAATATAAACAATGAATTATAATATTGTTTTTAATTTATTAAACCCTTTGTTTTTGTAATATTAACATTTAGTGAGAACATCTGGACAGTTAAATATGGGAAGCCGCATTTTTTAATAAATAAATTAATAGTAGTAGGCTCAGAAAATTTTAATACGGCTCTGTAAGGTTAACGGTGGTGGATTACCAATTTCGTACTTTGCCGGTATTACTTTCTGAGATCAAAGTGCCGACAGACGAGTAGTTTTACCGTGGAACCTCTTTATATTGTGCCATCATTTAAATACTCTTTATAAAATGCAGGAATTCAAAATAATATCAAAATTTAAACCTTATTACTTATTACAATTTATGAATTAACATATGTAATCAATTGTTTGTTGTTTGTTTGTTTATTTTATTATTTGTATGTCATAATAAATATAATATAATGTCAGACCAATCAAATACACTGCTCAAAATGATCAAATCTTACTAGAGTCGTATCAGTTTTTTTTTTATGAACCAGCTGTACTCTTGCTCGTACGAGAATATTTTACATTCGTGCTATCCGACGGGGCCCGTTCGTGCCCTGCGTGAAGCGATATTTTTGTTTTCGGCACTGGAGATGCACGGAAATGACCCGAACCGCACGAACAAACTTGATTTTATTGTTTTGTGAACGTGAATGGGAGTGCTGGTAAACAGACAAGCAGAGGATATTGTGTGGTTAGTATATGTTTTTTTATATACATTATTTATATAGTTACATATTTTATTTCTTATTTCTAATTAGGTACATATTTTTATTAATTGTAGTGTAACATTTCTTACTAAATCCAACTATCGTAATAGTTTCTATTATTATGGACGATGAAAAACTTATCGAATTGGTCCGAAAATACCCGGTCATTTATGATAACTCAAATTCAAAATATCTTTATACCAAACACAAATTGGAAATCTGGAAGAAAATAGGAGAAGAAATGCAACAGACAAGTATGTAAACGCATATTTATTTTCTGATTTGTAATCATGTAGTGAGTTTACGAGATCCTTTAGTTTATCAACTTGCTTTGTGGCAACAAAAATAATTCTTAAATACTGTTCTAACTCGGAAAGTCTTTTTAGTTGCAGTCATGGGCGTCCGCAGGACCAAAACTAGGGGGGGGGCAGATTTGAGAAATAAAAAAATTGGTTAGATAAGATAATTGGTATTGGTTATAATACATATAGATGTAAATTGAGAGTCTTCACGGAAAGGGGAGAGGGGAAAGGGGTTTCCCTCAGAAAAGTTTTGAAAATAACGTTTTTGGAGCCAAAATTATAACTCAACGCCTTCATACAAAAATGAAGCAAACTAAATATAATTTAAATATTTAAAAACTTTTTTAATGCTTTTTACAAAAACGTGATGCAAATTTAACAAGTTTATTTCCTCCTGATAAGCCTTCGATTTGTGAAGCAATATAAATTGTCTCTTTCTAAACACTATTATTTAAACAACAATTTACGCGGATCAATTGTAAATTCTTGTAAAACTTTCTCTACAAACTCTTCCTTTTTTGGTAATATTTGTTTCCGATGAATGCTCATTAGAGCTAACCCATTAAGGAGGTCTTCGACCATTGTACTCCGCAACCATGTTTTTATTTTTCGAAGACTGCTGAACGATCTCTCAACTGTACACGTAGTGCAAGGCAACGTTAATAGAATTTCCAGCAATTTTTTTGTTAACGGATGTTGGAGGGTGTTGAAGTTATCTAACTCATTATTAAGGAGTTTTTTATTCCAGTGTTCTACCCATACTTCTAGCTCTGCATCTATTCCATCTATTTCATAGTGGTTTAAGGATTGTCTCAGTTCTAATTTAAGGCAATTTAAATCGAAAAATGCTTGGGATGCAGAAGACTCAGAGCGAAGGCTGGCGTATTTTCTTCGAGAAATGCTTGATGAAAATGATTTTTTGCATGATCTTTGCAACATGTGTGGACATCTTTGTATTTATTAAAAGCCCTTATCATAAATGACCCCAATGTCCCTTTGATTGTCCCTTTCGATGGAGGAAAGACGACACAGAATTTACAAAAGGCTCCTTTCAAGCGCTTTGAATATACTAGCCACGGGCTATATAAGTCCAACCATTTATGGTTAAATTTTCTTTTTAAATGTGCAGCATCTCTCACAAAATCATAATCTGTAGGTGGCACCCAAGTTTCTTTCAGCAATTTCATTTTTCCTTGAACTGACAGCGTAGATACACTTCCCACGTATCTGCCAATATCATAAATGTGTTCATCAGTATGTAAGGACGTTGTGTTTTTTTCGTCCCAGGTAGAATGTGCAAACAGAGTGGTTGCATTCAAAATCAAGATTAAGTTACAACTTTGTATTTTTCTATATTGCTTATTCACCAATTTTACACTCGCCTCGTCCTCTCTAGGGGGGGGGCAGCTGCCCCCCTTGCCCCTCCCTGTGGATGCCCATGGTTGCAGTACCACCTTGCAAAGGAATATTTTTTAATTCGGAATTTATTATGGAATATGGTGGATCAGTAGCGGTATAATATTATGCAGTACGCATGTTGCTGATAATATACTCCACGTTTTCAGGATTTGCTTGAATCGTTCTGTTCTTCTAAATGTGCCTACCTTCTAGAGATGTTACCGACCACATTGACCCATCTTATTCTATTCACAGCAGCTCTTAATAAATCAGTTGACGTTAGACCAGTCCACTTCCTAAGATTGGCCAGCCAGAATATATGTCTACGTCCAGGGTCTCTCTTAACCTCAATCTTGCCTTGTATAATCAACTGTAGAAGTCGGTATTTATCATTACGCATGATGTGGCCGAAGTAAGCCAATTTTCTATTTTTTATGGTGTTAATAATTTCTTTGTGCTTTTTTAGCCTCTGGAGAATAGTTATGTTACTTGTGTGGTGTATATATGAGACCCTCAACATACGTCGGTAGTCCCACGTTTCAAATGCCTCTAATCGTTTGATGGCTTTTTCTTTAAGGCTCCAGCTTTCTACTCCATAGAGGACACTAAAGACGTAACATCTAAGTATTCTTATGTGTATATTGATACTTAAAGATAAGTTGCAGAGAATTTTCCTAAGGCTGTTGAAAGAGCTTCTGGCTTTGTCAATAGAGTTTTTATTTCATAGCTGTGATCCCAAGTATCCTTAATATTGCAGTACAAATAGCTTTTTTTGCCACTCTTTCTAACGGTGTATCACCTATTTGTAATTTGGGCGTTTATGTTGGTGTTCTTACTAATGATTATTATTTTTGTTTTCTTGCAATTTAGTTTTAGGTCGTATTTGTTGCATGCTTCTACAACGTTATCAATCATCCTTTGAAGCCCCTGCGCACTATCTGCCAGCAACACTGTATCGTCTGCATATCTAATATTGTTTATAAGTTTGCCATTTACAGCAATCCCATCTTCTGGTTCGTCCAAGGCCTCTCTAAAGATGTTTTCAGAGTATATGTTAAATAATGCCGCTGACAGTATGCAACCCTGTCTAACTACTTCTTCGACTATGAAGATCTCGGACAGTTCATTTTCCAATCGTACTGTTGCTTTTTGTTTGAGATATTAGTTTGAGATCAGTCTTATATCCTTACCACCGAGTCCTGATGTTTTTAGGATATCGATTAGTTTCCCATGTAGGACTTTATCAAATGCCTTCTCGAAATCAATGAAACATGCATACACATTGTAGTTGACATCCCTGGCTCTCTGCATTAGAACTTGCAAACTAAAAAGTGCTTCCCTCGGTCCAAGTCCTGCTCTGAATTCAAATTGAACTTCACTCAGATGTTCTTCTAATTTGGTGAATATGCGCGAGTGAATGATAGTAAGGAGTATTTTAAGTACATGGTTCATCAAATTAATTAATCTATGTTCTTCACATTTTCTAGCCTTGGCTTTTTTAGGAAGTGGAATGAATATTGATAGTAGCCAGTCTTTTGGTAAGTAACCAGTCTCGTAGATGTTGTTGAATAGTTTCGTAAGAGCTGTGATTTAGCGTGCCTCTAATTGCTTTAAAATTTCACCATGCACCTTATGCATGGTGAAAACATGCATTAACAGATCCTTATGATTTCCCATCTTTAATCCGCTTAATGGACATAGTTACTTCTTCGTTTGTATTTCTGGGATTATTTATTTCAGTCAGATTTTATGCTGTATCTTCGAATAATTCTTGCATATATTCTTTCCATCTTCGTAATTTATCTTCAATGGTAGTCAAAATCTGGCCTTCAATGTCTACAACTATGCCTGTCTTGTGTAGTTTTCTGGTATTCTGTACCTCTTTAATTTTTTTGTGTACATGGAAATGGTCATGTTTGCGTTGTAGTGTTTCAACTGCCGTATATTTCTCCGTCAGCCATGCTTCTTTTGCTGCTTTTATCTCCTTTATCATTCTGTTATGTATTATCTATATTATTATTCTATTATAAATGCGAAACTTCTGAGATAATATTCCAAAGGTATTTTCTATAATTCTAGGGATAAGCGATAATTAAAATTTTTATTGACAGGATCGTCAACTTGACTTCCAGGAAAAGACCTCATTAAATACCGTTTAAGGGGAAACGCTTCATCCCCAATAATAACACATGGAGCTAATTGTTGTTCCAGGGAGGCATTGGTCTGGCGGCAAATGCAAACTGCCATTGTCTAAGGCTTTACCCATATTCGAGTGTTTAGGTATTACTCCTTCATTTCTCCTTCTTTGAGTGCCTCTCCTATCGGAGATTGAATATCATTATGGCGATTCTAATTTTGTTTACTGCTGTTTTGAATAATTCGTTAGTGGTACAGCTAAACCAAAGACCAGTAGTACAGCTAAAGAGACAGTCAAAGAATCAGATCGACGACGTATAGACGCCTTTGAAATGTGGACATGGAGACGCCTGCTTCGAATTCCATGGACTGCTCGCCGTACAAATATCTCGGTTCTGGATGAAATTAAACCGGATCAGCGTCTCTCCAGTACCGTTTAATCTAGAATTTTAAAGTTCTTTGGCCATATCCATCGAAGTGATCACAAAATGGAGCGGTTGGTGGTCCAAGGAAGGCCTCAGACTCAACGCCAACGCGGAAGATCTTCACAGCGATGGGCGGACATTACTAAAAAGCTTCTCAATTAACAGTATACTGAGGCAATACATATAACTGATGACCGCGACCAGTGGAGAAATACTATCAATCAAACTGTCCGAGCTGTTGAAGCCCAATTATGAACCACAACACATCTACTAAGATGTTAATGACTGTGATGATGACAGCTAAACCACTCTCTTAAATTTCTCATCCAGGACATTCTTCTACGGCCTGGATTTTTGCGTTCCTTGCATTATATTTTGTAGGAATGTGTACTTTTGTCCTTTCATCAGGTGGCTTAAGTATTCAAGTTTTCTCTTTTTTACATTCATAATAACTTCTAGATCGTTATTTATTTTGCGTATTACCTCTTCAATTGTAATTTTATCCACCCAACTTTTTAATATTCCTCTGTTTAAGAGTCCATGCCTCAACACCGTAAAGTAAAGTACTGAATACATAGCATTTTAACATTCTAGTTCGTAGATGAATACTAATATCACGATTACAAAATAATTTTTTCATTTTTATAAAGGTAGACCTGGCAATTTCAATACGTCTTTTTATCTCGTGATTTTGGTCACCTGTTTCATTGATGAGATTTCCAAGTATTTGTATTTGCTTACTTTTTCAAGTTGGGTACCGTTTATTGCGATACTAGCGTCATGTATTGGATTCTTACTAAAGGTCATATATTTGGTTTTTTTGACGTTCATCCTTATGCCGTAGTTATTACATATCTCATTTATACTTTCAATTAGAGGTTGGAGATCTTCCACTGTTCTTGCCATTATCACAGTATTGTCAGCATATCGAATGTTATTGATAACTTCTCCATTGACTACTATCCCTTCGTTTGCATGTGAGAGAGCTTCTTGGTATATTTGTTCGCTGTAGATATTAAACAAAAGCTGTGACAATATACAACCCTGTCGTACTCCTCTACGTATTTATATTTCGTCCGATGTTTGGTCTTCTATTTTTATATTAGCTCGCTGATTCCAGTACAGATTTAATATTATTTGTATGTCTCTGGTGTCGATGTTCTTACCTCCAGGATTGCTTTGAGTTGATTGTGACGTACTTTGTCAAAGGCCTTTTCAAAGTCTATAAAGCAGGCATGCATCTCTTGATTAACATCTAGACATCTCTGTGTTAGGACATTTAAGTCAAAGAGAGCTTTTATTGTACCTAATCCTTTTCTGAATCCCATCTGTGTATCGTTAATATCGATATCTAACTTTTGATAGATTCGGTTGTGGATGACTCTAAGAAATATTTTAAGCAGGTGACTCATCAAGGAGATTGTTCGATGATCTGAACATTGCATTGTCTTAGTTTCTTCGGTATGGTGACAAACGTAGACAGCAACCATTCTTGAGGTATTATACCAGTACTGTATATTGTATTGAATAGATGTAATATTATGGTTATGGATTTATCATTCAAAAGCTTCAACAGTTCTGTAGGAATTTCATCAGGTCTATTTGTTTTCCACTTTTAGCGTTTCTTATTGCGTATTCTACTTCTTCTTTCAATATGTCTGGCCCAGTTGCATTGATTATCTGAGTTAAGTTGTTTCTATCGTCTTTAAATAATTCATTCAGGTATTCTGTCCATCTTTTTATTTTATTCTCTAGATCTACAATCTAGATCTACAATCTTTGTCTTTAAGTTTACCTATTTGGCATTTCTTTATGCTATCTTCCTGTTATCTCTTTTACTTTTTTGTGCATATTGAACGCATCGTACTTTTTCTCATAGGTTTCCATTTCTTCACAGTGTTCTTTAATCAACTCCTCATTGGCTTCTTTTATTCTCTTTTTTATGTGTTTATTTATTTCTTTGTATTTGTCTGGGTAATTCTTCATCTTTCTTCTTTGTTCCTTCAAGTCTCGTATATCTTGTATCATCCGCCCCTTATTCTTTGTTGTGGTTTTTGTAAGATGGTTCTTTCCTGCTGTTTGTATAGCTATATTTATGTACTTTAATTTTTTGGTTCATGTTATTTGTATCGTTAATTTGTTGCTGCACTAAACGGCAGTTTTCATTTATTTCTTCTCCTGTTTCTTGTCGTATATTTTTGTATCTAAGTTTATTTAAATCTAGTGCCTTTCTGTGTGGCCTTCAAATCTTTTTTGGTCTGGCCTCTATCACAGTAACTACCTGGTTATGATCTGAGCCTATATCAGCTCCTGGGTACGTCTTAGTACATTTAACAGCATTACGATACCTCCTTGCTATCATAAGGTAGTCTATTTGATTTCTCACTATTTTTTCTTTGGTATGTTGTATATGTCCATGTATATAACCGTCGAGGAGGTAATTTGAAAAACGTACTTGTTATTACGAAGTCTTCACTTTGGCAAAATTGAATCAATCGATCTCCTCTGTCATTCACTACTATGATCCAACATCGACCATAATAAATTAATAATTAGCGTCATCCAAAGCTAAAAGTACAATTGAAAAGATTTTTTTGTAATTAAAGTAGTTAGAGCCACTGTTACCAACTGTACAAATTTCTCTCCATTTGTGTGTTGTCAGAATTGGCATAACTTCCGTTAGTAACTCCTCGTTCACCAAAATTTTACATGTTTCATGTACAAGGTTATGTACTGTTGCATGACCTAAACCAGGGGTCTCCAAACTTTCCAGCTTTAGGGCCATACTGATTACTCCAGTAAGTTCCAAGGGCCAAGATGGCAACACTGTATTTTATATATATTTTTTTATATTTTATTATTATTTATATATTTTATATATTTCTGTATTTTATGTGTAATAGAATTTTGCTGAAGTGTGGATCATTTTTTGTAAAATAACGAATAATTTAATTTTTTGTAAGTGTGGTAAGCTGTCAACATTATTAAGTATGTCAAATATTCACCTATTTTTGATATATTTTAATTTAATACAAGGTAGACATAAACAAACAAAATATTTCCACCAGTGGAAATCTCCAATCTCTCCCGAGATTGTCCACTAATAACATAATTATTCTTTCTACTATTTTTCAACGCCATCGTTAGAAATTGTCACAAACACACTTAACTATCCGAAATAATAAGAAGCCTGAAAAATAATAGCCGCAAATCACTTAAGTGTTACGCACCTGATAACTGGGAGGAGACTAAAGACCCTACCTAAGTGGGACCAGTGCGAGGACGAAGCGATGACAATAGTGGCGTAACTACAAGTCAGTTCCTATGAAACTGTTGTGAAATAAAATAGGGCGTACCTCCTTAAAACAAGTTTGTGCGTGTAACAGTATTTTGATTTGATTTGAATTGTTGCTTTTGTGTGTGATTTAGTAAAATGGAAAAGTAGCGAAAAATTGATAGTGAATGCAGAAAATTCAAAGATCAGTGGAACATTCAGTATTTCGTAATTGAGTCCAGTAACAAGGCGCTATGTTTGATTTGCAATGAAAGCATAGCCGTTCTTAAACAATATAACATGAAATGTCATTATGAAACAAAACATTCTCAAAATTACTCAAAATATACAGGAATTGTGCGGACAGAAAAATTCGAAGCTTTGAAGTGCGGATTGAAATCGCAGCAATCTTTATTTACAAAAGTCAAAAACTTTATTTAAAAAGTCAATGGAAAACCATTCACCGATGGAGAAATAATCAAGGAATGCATAATTGCAGTAGTCGAAGAAATGTGCCCTGAAAAGGTAAATTTATTAAAAACTGTCAGTATGTCAGCAAACACTGTGGCTCGAAGGGTAGAAAACATCGCTGAAAATATATCCTCTCAACTGTTCGACAAAAATGAATATGTTGAGTGGTTTTCTTTGGCCTTGGATGAGTCAACGGATGTGTCAGATACTGCTCAGGTGTTGATTTATATTAGAGGAGTAGATAAAAGCTATGAAGTGCACGAAGAACTTCTTGATATGTATAGTATTCATGGCACAACTACTGGTACCGATATTTTTAAAGGAGTTGAAATGACCATTAATAAAAATAACCTTCGATGGAAAAACTTGAAATGTATTACAACTGATGGAGGCAAAAACATGAGTGAAAAGATAAAGGAGTGGTCGCTCTTGTGTCAAAGGCTGTAGAAAATGACGGCGGCTCAAAACTATTAGTCTTACATTGTATCATTCATCAACAGTCTTTGTGCGGAAAATGTTTGGATATGTCTGACGTTCTGAAACCAGTCATATCAACTGTTAATTTCATCAGATCTTTTGGGTTGAATCACCGACAATTCCGACAATTTATTACAGAGATTGGAGAAACAGACTTACCTTATCATACTGCCGTACGCTGGCTTAGTTGTGGGAAAGTCCTTCAGCGCGTTTTTGAACTTCGAGCAGTGATCGAAATTTTTTTGAATGAAAAGCACCGCCCTCTTACTGAATTACAAAACAACGCATGGCTATGGAAGTTAGCATTCTATGTTGATTTGACAAAACATGTGAACGAACTGAATTTGAGATTGCAAGGAGAAAACCAGCATCTTCTTGATTTATACACTAATATCAAGTCATTCCGGATGAAATTGATACTGTTTCAATCAGAACTACGAAGTAAATGTTTTTCACATTTTAAAACATGTGAAATATTCAGCCACACTACCGAGACTGAGTTTCCTATCGATTTTGCAATCGAAACTTTGAGTGCTTTGAAGATAAATTTTGATACTCGTTTCTCGGACTTTGATGCCATTGCGAATCAAATTAAGATTTTTCAGAATCCTTTTGATGCTGACATTGAAACCCTAGCCCCGAAACTTCAAATGGAAATGATTGATCTTCAGTGCAGTGATATAATTAAGAACAAATATGAAAACTCATCTTTGTTGGAATTTTATAAGAATCTTCCACTGACACAATTTGATAATTTGCATAAATTTGCTCGTGGGCTGTTTTCCGTTTTTGGTACTACTTATTTGTGTGAGAAAACCTTCTCCAAAATGAAGTACACAAAAAATGTATACAGATCTAAATTAACTGACGAGCATCTTAAATCTCTTTTAATAATTGGTACAAGTAAAATTAGTCCACAACTACAAACTATTGTCGGTGGAAAATCTCAATTACATACATCTCATTAGCATTTCATATGTCATGTTTGTTATAAGGTATGTGTTGTTCATTACTTACAATGTATAAAATGTTAGTTGGATTCATTTCAATAATTTGTTAGTTATTATATGCTGAAGTTAAATTTACTGCATAAATTATACATGTCTTTACTCATTACCATTCTGTGTTTCTTTATCCAACTTATCACAAACATTTTATTTGCTATAAAAAATATTTGTTCTCTAAAAGGAGTTTTCAAGTATGTCTCCGCGGGCCGGACAAAATCTGTCTGCGGGCCGGATGTGGCCCTCGGGCCGTAGTTTGGAGACCCCTGACCTAAACAATAACTAAAGGAAATACCTCTCAGAGAGTTAGCAGTCGCTAAATATCTAAAAAGAGTATTGTGTTCATTTTGAGTTAAATGTAACTGATAATTTTTTAGAGTGTAATATAAAAATATGTATTTTCAGGTAGTGCTTGCAAAAGTAGATGGCAGAATATACGCGACCAATTTAGAAAAAACTTGGCAAAGAACGTGACTAAAAGTGGACAAGCCGCGGAAAAAAGAAAAAAATATAAATATGAAGATTGCCTGCAATTTATAATTCCGTTTTTTGCCAAGATAGACAATTTGTCTAATGTGCAGTCTTCGGAATCTGATGCTCCTGTGAATACAATAAATGAAGAGACTGAAGATGAAGGAAGTCAATTACAACCAACTACGGAGATTTTAGAAACAAGCACGCCCACTGAAGCGGAAAACCAACCGCGTCCTGTAATAAAAACGCCGTCAGGTCGAATGAAAAATAAACTGTGTGAGCATGAATCAGACTCAACTACTTTAATGAAGTACATAATTGCTAGAGAAAATAGTCACAACACAGAAAATGTACATCCAATTGATGCATTTTTTTCTGGACTCGCTGCCACTGTCAAGTTATTTTCTCCATATTACCAACATTTGGCAAAAGGTAGGCTATTTCAAGTGGTGCAAGATTTAGAGGAGCAACAACTACTTGGACCCATTGTCCAAAATAATGAGTACCACGTACAACCTTTGTCAACTGCATCGCCCGCTGGAACTTCTTTAGATTACACCCATATGTCATCTATGCCAACACTATCACCGGATGGAACTTCGTTAGATTCTACCCATACGATTCATGAGTTTAAGATATTTGAAGCCAATAAAGATACCCTAAATGAATCAAAATGTAGCTCTGAACTCGTAAACTCTAAACCCTTAACGTAACTCAACAACCAAGCAATTATTTTTGACAATTTTGAATGAAATTGTAATAGTTAATAATAATTAAAAAATAAAATTATAATTTAAAAATTGGCTTTATTCCCGTACCTAGATACTTATCTTAAACAAACAGCCAAAATTTCTTTGACCGAAATCGGTATTTTCCAAAATGTAATTTTTCCGTCTTCTCAAGACGATGTTTAATTTTATCCAATAAAATATTCGTAAAATTTTGTTTCATCGTGCAATATTTCTCACGATCTCTCATCCCAATAGGATGCACACTCCATCTTCTTTGTTTCCGTCTCTTCTGCTCTTGCTCTTCCTCTTTATCAAGTAATAATGCCAAAACCGTGAGATCTTTTATCAAAGCCACCATATTTTCAACTATCTTTTATATAGAAATATGTAATAACGTTTTCCTCTCTTATTTGCCGCGGTACGCACACTGCCACGTAGATATAAAATTAACAATACCCGAACTCGACACTGACACGGAACGGGCACGATATGTATAAATCGACCTTTACTGTTTAAAGTCTTAGCATATCACCAATAATCCCTCATTATTTTAGTTACAATTATTAATACAATACGAAAATATATTCTATTTATTTTCAATATATCTCATCTCAAATAAAACGAGTTTTTTATCTCGTCCGTTTTTCCGTTTATTTACCCGATATGTTTAGTTTCAGTATCCAAACACGCTTCGAAATTATGTTACTGCCAATTCTCCTCCTCTGAATTGAAATGTTATCATTTTTACGACCACAACTGGCCACGAATGTTTTTTTCTAGTAAGTACCAACCTCTTCGCTAATTCATTAAAAAAAAAACAAGTTTTTTTGTCTACCTAGAATTGGATTAGTAATGTTTATCTCTTGTGAAGCAGCAATAAATCTTTAGTTTTATTGTTTTATTATTATGCAGTTCCTTTGTAAATGTATAGAAAAAGTGTCCTATTATAACCCACCATTAGAACGTTTAAAGTTCGTTGAAGACGGTTAGAAGTTAACGTATTGCTCTTTCCTATAAAATCTTGGATTGGAACGTCATTTAAAGATACAAAAAAACACATAAAAAACATCCTCAGCCACAAAAAAAAGCGCAAGCCTACAAAAAAAAATTAACAAACACCCCAAAACCCGAGCACGTAAGGCCCAACCCCTTGAGCACCAAGTCTCCAAACTAAGCCTAGCTCAGAGCGGAGAATTGAGGTCCAACTAAGCAATTTTTAGTTCGCGGATAAGCCACATTAAGATAACAGGATCATAGCGACAATGCGCTGTCCTAATTCGGTTAGGAAACTATGTTGGAGTTCTATTACCCAGGACTCCCACATGAAGAGCATTTGGCTGATAGCTGTGCCCCTATCGCGCATCAGAGTGCTATAGGGGAGAAAGAGATGGTCTGGAGCATTGGAGCGCGGTGGAGTGACTCCTGTTTTTTACTCGAGTTAATGCACCTCGCTACAATGAATTGTTACACCCGAACGTAATTTTTAAGGGTGGACATGTCTCACAAGCTAGGTTTAATAAAATTGCTTACTTGCACTTAAAAACTTAAAATTAAAAGTATTTCCTATACAATTACATTCAAATGTTTCGTGAAGAACGATTCTTGACTACGTCATGCGCAAAGCGAACCGATTTTGGAACATTATGTATCATACCTTGTGTTCGTTGTATTATGATTCATAACAGTTACTACTAGAACTAAGATATTAACTTTGGACGATGAAAAGCGATAGTTTTAAGGATTGGTACTACAGATTAATGAAAAATAGCTAAAAGTACATGTACTAAAGTTAAAGTGAGATCGATAAAATGGAAGGATGCGTGTGGTGTATTATGTCACAGAAATATGTCAACGAAACTGAAAGGAAAATTACTAAAAAAGGAATATAAGACTAGCTATGATATGAAGACACACAGGAATATGTGGGGAGGGAATGATGAAAGTATGTTTGTCAAAATGTATACTGAATACAAAATTAAGAACACGTTTATTAGGATATGTCCAGGGATGTCAACAAATGATGCCAAAATAATAAAGCAAAGATTCAGATGGTTGAGTCACGTTCAACATCGAAATAGTAATCACCCAATACACAGAATCGCTGAGTTGCAAGTTTGTCAAGGGTCGCTGAGTTGGAGAGAAAGATCATAGAAGACCAATTATTTAGACAAGATGTATGTGTAAAGAGGATTAATAGTGGTATGTCTCAAGATAAAAACTTATGAAGAAATGCAATTAATGGAAGCTTACTTCACATAGGATTAATAGCAAAATGATGATAATTCAGCTTTACTGTATTGAATACTGCATGTTACATTTGTCTATTAATGGTAAAAGATAAGAACACCATTAATTTTTTAAAACTTACCTAGGCCATGCCAAAAAATATCAAATATTACCAAAACCATTGCGATATTGAATACATGTTTATTGTCAGTTTTGCTAAGGAATTTCGCTAAGGCACCCACAAAACCTGAAAAGTATATCTGTAATTAAAACGGTTCAATATGTGTATTCGTTTACCTGCCACTATCAAGTAAATAGGAATCAGTCTATTTAGAGGACAGCTGTTTAGGTTCACCCAACCAGTGGTGAACATGGCGAAAAATACTGCGTACAGCATAACAAGGGATGCATTTATTCCAGCTGCAATAAATAGATTCGTTAATTTTATCCATAAACAGTAAAACCCCTCTTAATCGTAACATTTTGAACTAAAATAAAATTTAACCGACACGGTTAAAAAAAATAAATGCAAAATATAGAGGAAATGTGTCAAATATGGAATATGTGCCCTTTATGAAATACCCTAAAATTAAACAAACTAAAAGTGGTAACGATATCACTAGCTTGTTGCTATTATATTGTTAGTCGTGTTCTAGATCCTCAGCATTACCACAAAACATATAAGATCAGTTGGTAGACTATGTACATTTAATGAAACAAAAAAGTTTAACGAGCTAACAAGAAATGACGGTTAAATGATGATTAAAAGCATGGCTTATCAGCTGGCTACCTTAAATAAATTACCAAATCTATTTTCCAAAGAAAAATAAACCCGAGCAAGAAAATGGTACTTGTTTTTATTGCGATGGAAAATTATTGGAAGACAGAAAAGAAGAAAGTGAATAAAATGTATTTTCTGCAAAAAGCGGTGCTCTACAGATTGTTCTGGGCGTGAATCTGATATCTTTATTTGCGAGATTTGCAAAGTCAATTAATTTGTTTTGTTAAGAGGTAAACACTATCTAAAGAGGTAGACAATGTCTAAATTCTACTATTTTTAATATACAATACTATGTTTATATAGGATTTAGCCACAATTGATTGTAATAACAATTACATTTTACTTAAAAAATTGACGGTTTGATTTCCGCTTCTTAATCGTTCTCAAAAAAAAAATTATTAAATAATTTTGTTAGAAAACGGTGTATAAACTCCAAGATTCTTATTAACAATCTACACGGTTATACCTACACCGTTTTCTAACAAAATTAAACACAGAATATTGTGTTTTAAAAAATTTAAACCAAATACATAACGGTATTTCATATCGTCGGCTGCAATAGTGGTTTAACTCAAAAATTGACAAAATTGAGTAAACATCACCAAAGGTCTTAAAAAAGCCTTATTTCAAAACTGGCACAATAGTAATAGCAAAAATGTCCGCTAGACGTTACTAGTGTCGCTGTGACATGTTGTCGGTTGAGATAAATTGTTTCTTGCAGGCCTTTTTAGTAGTGGAATTCGAACCCTGTCGATATCAAGATTCTATGCAATACAGGCACTTTTGAGTTGTGCCACTATAGCAGACAATTTTAGAATTTTTAAACAGTGTCAGTGAGAATTTTGGAGTTGTGTCACATTAAATAAAAGGAGTAAATTTATTGTTTTAAAAATGTAAGATCCAAAGGCTTATCAGAAAAGAAGTGAATTAGTCATATCTCGAGCAGGAGTAGGTAACGTAAGTAATAATATTAATAATATTTTAATATATAATTCGAAATACTCGATTTAGTTGAAAACTTACAAGATTTTTTGATTACATCCACTAAACTACCAGTTTAAACAAAAAATAAACCCAGTTTAGTTCTGATGCGAACCCTCATTACGTGAATATGTATGCTGATGTATCGTTTACATTTACAGAGGTCTCTGATGAAAATGTGCAGACTGAAGTACCAGAAGACGTGACGATTAATATACTTAAAAGTAGGAAAAGGAAGGCTTGTCCGGACCAGTGGAAAAGAAATGTCAGAAAGTTTCTTAGAAATTCAGGTCAAAAATACACCAATATTTATGGTAACCTTCTACAGGCTCGAAGTTTAGGTCCATCTTGTAATCTATGTAGACTAAAATGTGATGAAAAATTCACGTTACAAGAAACAAGACAGATCTTTGAAACATATTGGTCAATGGGACATATAAATTAACAAAGAAGTTATGTTATGAGATCCATGTCTATAATTAAACCAACAAACAATATGCAGATAAAAGTAACACATCGAGCAATTTATTGAATGGAGTTACTAATAGATGTATTCGAACTGTTATTGGGAAGACGAAAAGTGGTTTTATAAGCAACGATCAAAGAGGTAAATAAATCATTCATAAAAATTTTTGTAACAAAATTATGAACAGGGTTCGTAAACACCTTTCTTCAATTCCGACAATAGAGAGCTACTATTCTTGAAGTAGAACCTCAAAAAAATATATACAAGTGGACAAAACATTGACAGATCTGTACAATGATTATATACAAAAAAGATCAATGTGGGTTTTGTAAACAATACAAAAATTCGATTCGAATTCTAGAAGATGATTATACTAAGCATCATAAGCAGAAAAACTTAAGTTAAGGACAAACACTTGACAAAGAGAATGTAACTAACTTACAAAAAGTTCTTGTTTTGACCTACAAGCTGCTCTACCGTCACCAAAAGGAGGATTTCCGCTTTTTATTATAAATCTAAGCTACCAACATATCATTTACCTATATATGTGACCTTCAGAAAATCTATCTATTTATCTAATTAGCCTACTTCGGTCCATCTTTGGACATAGGCCTCCCCAATCCTTTTCCATTCTTCTCTGTCTGTCGCTACAGTCATCCACCTAGAGCCCACGTGCTTCTTAGCAGGCAGTAAAGTAAGTGTGCTATAGAAATTGGTTCGTGCCTGCTGATGTATTTGGAAAAAACATCTATAATAACCGGTTCTGACGATTTAAAATTCATATTTTACTCAGACAATTGTGGTGGCCAAGGAAAAAACAAGTATCTAATTTCAATCTATTAGTACGCTGTAAACCATTTCAAAATTTCTTCTATAACTCGTCGCTATTTAGTTGTCGGCCATCCTTCAAATGGTGGTGATGGTGACTCTTTAATATGAAGAAATATCACTAAAGCTTTAAAAGGAGCGCCTATTTATCTACTGACTCATTACGCTATGCTAATCCGAACTGCTAGGTGCAAACAACGATTCGAAGTAAAAGAAGTATATCCTAATGATTTTTTTGACCTGAGAAAGTTAAATACTAAAACACCGACAATTTTCGATGGATATGTCCAAAGAAATACTTTTCATTTCAACGATATTTGTGAAATTCATGTAAAAAAACCTCTGTAACTCACCAGAGAGTTGATACCATTAAGAAAAAAACGAGAAAAGGTTTAGAAAGGATGGATATTATAGAATTAGAAAAGGCTTACACTGGCAGGCTGCCAATAACTGAAAAGAAGAAAAAAGACATTATAATCTTTGTAAAGACAAGAGTGTTCCACCAATTCACCCTGCTTTCTACTGACATTTAAAGCATTGTTAATCATAAGTTTTCCTATTATTATTAATATATACTTTTTTTTATTTCGTTCTTCTGATAGTTGTTAATAAACACATTTTCTCATTCAAGTAACTTGTATTATTCTTTATTGAACCTTTATTTCAGTTGATAGGAATATCAAAAAAATGCCAGTTTTGTCTTTGCCTTAATTAGTCTTGAAAGACAAAATGTTTATGTGCAATAGTGACACAACTCAAAATAAGGGTTAAATTTAAAAGTCTGTGTTACAATTTATTAAAGGCTACCTAATAATCCCTCAAATAAACCAAATTTTTTTTAATCCCAATTCATGTAGTAAAACAAATAAGACAAAATTATTGGCACACAAACTTTAAACCTGTTTTGGAAAAATTATCAGTTTTTCTGTTGTGCCACTATTGCATATAGCCTACGACAGGGGTCACCAATTATATTCCTTGAGGGACCGTTTCAAAAACCTACTACACTTCCGCGGTCTGGATACTAGAACAGGCAGTGGCATAAACGGGGGAGGGGGTTACCGAGAAACCCCAGTAGTTTCCCCCTTCAGGAGATCATACTGGCATATGTAGTTAAACCAGGCAACTAAGTCACCTCGTTTAGAAAGAGAGGCTCGAAGAGGGGATCGAAATAACTTTTTTAAATCCACATTATCCTTGCCAAAATAGTCCACCACATCATCATCAGCCGTTTTGAGTTCATTGCTGGACATAGGCCTCCCGTAAATAATTTCAGTGCATTCAGTTTGTTCTTCAACAAACTCTTCACTGGTTCTGACCAGGTAGCACACGAAAATGACAAGCTGTGCTGTATCTGTAATGACAAGCTGTGCTGTATCTGTAACGTCGCATGACTCATCCCATGCCAAAGCAAAATATTTAATGACAGCCAAGATTTGTTTTAACGTTTTCTATGTTTGATCCGCCAATATCTGTGTACTCCTTGTGCTTGAAGTAGTAGATACTGAAAGACGCTGAATAGTATCAACAACATCCTTTTTATTTTCAAATAATGAAGTTCCTGCTTCCAGAAACCACTCTTTAACGATAGCCGCGTCACTAAATGGCTTCATATGTTTGAAAAGCGTCCAGGAAAAGTGTAAAGAAGCTTGAGATTATTTCCTTATTAGATTTGATTTTAATTTAACACTATAATTTTATTACTATATTTTGAATTTAACAGCGGTTCGCAAAAAAAAACAAGCTCACGGTACTAATGCGGACCGCGGTCCGCCATTTGGTGACCCGTTACCTACGATATATAGCAAATCACCTCTATTAATAATTGAATACGTTGTAATATGTGTCAATATCAACGAAATGTTTAAAGTATTAGCTCAGTCTGGTTAAAAGAAAGGTCGACAAATGTTTCGCAGATATCTGAAGCTTTTAAGACATAGGTGGGGGTTACTCATCGAGCAATAAGACAAAAGAGGGAATGTAAAGGTAGAAGGGGTAAACATATTGATAGACAGGAAGTGCCATCTTGAGAGGCCACTTTAGACAAGGATAGACTGTCTCTTTCCTTGTTTAAGAAGTCAAATTTAGTTTGGTTATGTTATTGTTTGTCCCAACTGTCACATGAAATTTTATTTATATTGAAGTTTTTTACCAATTGTGTCACTTTTTAGACTATTATCGTTAATATTTAATTAAAACTTTCTTGTCTGAAAAATATTTTACAGGTATTGTTAACAAGTGTTGGAAAATTTAAATTTAGCGCCTTTGCATTTCCGGATATGCCCGCCATCAGAGGCCACTTTTTTGGTCTCCTTTTCATAACGATTAGATTCCCTCTTTTGTCTTATTGTTCGATGGGGTTACTAGATGAGGAATAGGTAAAAAGTTACTGGTATGTTTACCTTACGTGTTTTTTAACAATTATTTATGGTCACAATTTGATTTTTGTCCATAAGTTTTTTCTCTTGATAAATCCCATAATTGATAAATAGTTTATCCCATAATTGATAAATAATTTACGGAGATATTTGCAAAAAAGCAGTTTTTTTGCACTAATTTATAAATTTTATTAATTATTTTATTAACAAAACAAAATAGGTATTATTAATACATTTAAACATAGAGCAATTACCGTCTTTTAACTTTGTGCTAGGTAAAAATACGAGTACTTTTCATCTATTCGTCATCTAGTAACCCCATCGAGCAAAAAGACGAAAGAGGGAACCTAATCCTTATGAAAAGGAGACAAAAAAGTGGCCTCTGATGGCGGACATATCCGGAAATGCGAATGCGCCAAATTTAAATTTTCAGACACTTATTAACAGTAGCTATATAATATTTTTCAGAATGTGTCTTAGACGAGAAAGTTTTAATTAATTATTAACGATAATAGTCTAAAATGCGACACAATTGTTAAAAAACTTCATTATAAATAAGATTTCATGTGACATTTGGGACAAACAACAAATAACCCAACTAAATTTGACGTCAAACAAGGAGAGAGACTCTCTTTCCTTGTTTAATGTGGCCTCTAAAGATCGCACTTCCTGTCTAACAATATTTTGCCCCCACTACCTTTACGGTCCCTCTTTTGTCTTTTTGCTCGATGAGTAACCCCCACCTATGTCTTAAAAGCTTCAGATATCTGCGGAAATTTTTGCCCTGAAATCGATGATTTTTGCGTAACCAGACTGAGCTATATGTTTTACAAATAAAAAGTATATTTTTTATTCAATTACTTTGAATTTCATTATGAATGTGAAGCTATTTTTACTATGGCATGTGTTATATTTTTTATAGCATAAACTACAATAATAATTGTAATTAACATTGCTATGAACATAACATTTTGGCAATAAACCATGCAAAACAAATTTTTTCTTCAAACGTCCAATAATGATGACATTACTTTATCTAACTTGATCCTGTCAAAGTTTGATGTCTCCACCGGCAGCAGTTTTTTTCCCATTTCTTTACGGCGGAGGGAAAAATGTTGTCATGGCAACAATATGAAACATTGTAAGTACAATTAGTTAATAAGGCATTCTCAAAATTGAAACCGTGCAAAAATGTTGCCGACTCTTGATACGCATTGGTAATTTGTTGATGATACTGATGGTCGAGAACAACTTTCAGCAATTTGGCGAATCATGAGGGTTTAAAATTTTTTGAGCATTATCGTTCTTATTTCTTATTGAATCCTCTATATATCCTTCGGCAACCGTGCTTGACTACCAGCCCCCATGTCGTTTGAGGCATTCTAGATTTCCGCCTCCATCGATTTAAATATCCTCCATCCATTAAAGTGTTGCTGAAGTTCGTCATAAAGAGTGACTCGTGTATGCGCTTGAATCGTTTAAATTTAAATAACTAGCTACTTTTTGGGCTACTGCGCTAATCGAATGTATTCCCATGACGCTTCGGTAACACTATCCATTTTGGTACTTGATAAAAAATCGGTTTTCTGTGAAATTATCGTAAAATATCTAATTTGTCGTGTTTTACTGTCTGGGATTTTGATAATTATTACATTTTCTTTATCCTCAATGTCCACAGTCTTCATTTTTACCATTTAGTCGCATCGACAGGCGCCGGTAACCCCAATTAACAAAACATTCTGAAATATTTTTATAATTTAGTAGAGTATACTACATGCTTTGCAATATAATTTTTTTTACCTTTAATCCTAAATACATTTTATCTGGCGCTTCAAACAAAAATTTATCAAACTCGCCTTTAGTGAAAACTTTAGACTTCTTTGCAGTATATCCTTCGCTTGTTTTTTTCAGAAAGGCACGCAACTTTAAAAATTTGCTTATATCCACATTTTTTCTAATAACTAACTCGGATTTTATCATAGAGTATCGTGACCACATTGTAGAAGATTTCCATTTATTTTCATTTTCCATTATATTAAAATATGCCAGTGAAACGTCTTCGGTAACTTGCCGTACTCCTCTTGTATCGCACCACTCTTGGAAGTGCTTGTACGCTAACCGATACTTTATTCCGGACTTGGAGGGCCCCAAACGTGCTACTGCATCATTATTAGCCGCGGACTCAATTTCGTTTAGGTTTTCCATTTTCGCACTAAATTTGCGCTTGCGGTTGCAACAACAATAAGCTGTCTTTAATAATTGCAAACAACTGTTAACCAACTGTAACCAGGGAGACGCAAATCCCACCTACGACTTAATTATTTTAATTTCTAACATCTAGACGACTTTGATAGTTGTCACAGTTAATTTCGAGTAAAAATAGCGTATGAATTGTACTATTTATGGTTGAAAATTGCTACGTTTGAAGAAAAAATAGTATACTTTATTCGGCAAAGAAGCGACTTTTCTTGACTTGCCCTCTATTACGCGCCTCACTTCGTACGGCGCGTAGTATCGGGCGCGTCAAGAAAAGTCATGATTCTCCGCCTCATAAAGTAATATACTATTTTAATATTAATGGTTCGATTTTCTTACCAAAATGGTAATCTCACTTATTGAACGCAGTTGCGTTATTACGCTTATAAGGTTGGACCATTCGAAAAGTTTCAATCAAAAGAGGAAAATCCAATAAACTCGGAGAATAGACTTTCTGACGAAATATATAAATTTCTTAAACATACAAATACAAACAGTGGCGTATGGGTCAATCTTAAAATAATAAAGTTCGAAGAAGTTATTCAAAATTTTGCACGGTGTACTAATTGTATAAAGATTTTAGCTTAGGAAGTTGCGTAGCCACAATGCCTGTTTTTAAGTTTCACTAGTCACAGAATTTATTTTGAGTGGGTCAAGGTCGCGGTAGTTTCGAATGGAAGTAATAATTAATCTTGATTCGTTTGTCTGGTTTCGTCTCTTGAAGTGGGCATTTATAGATGACATACTGATCGATCATATTTTTTGAGACTTATAATATTGATAATATTGGGGATTATTTTATGGCCATATTATGGATTAAATTATGCGTTTATTTTATAGATTATAGTAGGTATAAAATATTAGATAAAGCGTTCCGTTAATCATAGTATTTTTTTGGAAGGAGCAATAAAAACACGTGTCTCTTCTACAGAGATCTTCAGCAGGTTGTAGAATAACTGGACATAGCGTTAAGCGTTAAGATATTAAGAGGTCTCCAGCGTAGTGACTGTTTATATTGAGTCAGAGATTGAATGTGTTCAAATATTGATATCAATTAAACAAAATTTAAATATTAGCTTCATTATGTCATTTACAATTGTATTCACTTTTGGAACAAAAGAAAATAAAGTAAGTCTCAACTGTATACTCAACTGGAGCGGTTCATTTATAAGTTTTACCACGTTATGGTAGCCCAGACCATTTTTTCCGTCGGTAGACAGATAAACGTTGTGTATTAGTGATTGTTACGGTTAAAAATGGCAGTAAATTACATGTCTACAGAGCCAAAGTTGTTAGGCCGCAAAAAATACGATGATTGGGCTTTCGCAATGCAAAATTATCTTGTTCTAGAATGTTTGTCCACGTGTTTAGACGGAACTGAAACCGAAGTAGACACATAAGAAAAAGCTAAAGCCCAGTTAGGTCTTTTGCTTGATCCACCGTTATATAAACATATAAAACAAGCAAAAATCGCGAAAAAACTTAGAGACGCCTTAAAAAAGTTGTTGTTGATGACTCAGGTTACGTGAGAAAAATTAGTTTATTGAAAAGTCTAATTTTAGCACGATTGGAAGATTGCATTTGTAACAAACAAAACAAAACAAAATGTAAAGTTTTTAATTGTTTTAAGAATTTAAAATGTAGGGCTGAAAACCAGAAGGGTGTTCATATAAAAACTCTGCGAAGTTACAATGGTGGAGAATTTTGCTCAAAAGAATTTGAAAGATATTTAAATGTAAATGGTATTATAAATCAAAAAACCAATCCCTACACTATTGAAAAAAATGGAGTATCCGAACGTTTGAATCGGACAATTGTAGAAAAGACAATGTGTCTTTTGTGTGATGCCAATCTTAAGAACATTTTTTGAGCTGAAGTTGTAAACATAGCTGTTTACTTAAAAAATAAATATTTGGCTACTGGTTTAAACAAAACACCGTTTGAAAAATGTGGATAGATAGTAAATCTGATGTTAGTGGAATTCGAATATTTGGCAGTTAAGCCATTTCATATACCTATAGAAGAGTTTGAATTAGTACTTCGGGGATTCCACCAGTAATAATTAGATTTGCAGGTAGATTACAAATTGATGCGAAGATATTTCGAAATATATTTATAAAAACAATTTTATATCATATGTCAATAATTATGATAGACAAATAAAGGATACCAAAGGTAATCGTATATCAACAACAACAACAAAATTGAAGTGTAGTACAAACAAAGAATTTCTCTGAAAATAAGCAGCTGTCTTGAAAATATCACGATGTATATTATCAAATTAGTGTAGAGAATATGAAAATGTCTGCTTGTCAACTCGTGATACAAAGCATATTTACGAAATAGATTCTACGATATTATACGCAGTAAAGTGATGCTTTTACTTTTAGTTATGTAATTGGATCAACTGAAAGCACGTTGACGTAATAAAAGCTTCGGAAGTTCGTTATCCGTGAAACTAAAACAAATTAAACAAAAATAAAAATACTTACGTGGAGCCTTTTCTTTTGCCTTTTCCAAAGGTTCATTATCCTCGTCGGCTTCCAAACTTTTTATATTCTCCGCTTTTTCAACATCGACGTCATTTCCGGAAGTAGAACTACTAGGCGTCGGGGGAGTTTGTTCACCGTCTTCGGTCATCTCTTCTCAAAGTGTTTACGCATCAGACATTTTTATTTTGAATAATATTTACGTTTATGTTCCTGGACGCCGCTTTTAGACAATGCTAAATTTCTTACTGAAAATAACTACTTGTAATCATGCCAAGAGTCCCGCATTATTTATTTTTAGTTGCTTAGAACTAGTTGCAAATATTAAGGATCAATTATCTGCATTGGAATGCAGTGCAAATAATTAAAACAATTGTTCTAAATGGTTAAGAGCTTTGTTCTCGGCTTGCTTAATTATTTGGTTGTGACGACATAAATCCTTATTTTTATTAGTTAAGGAATACTTAGACACGTATACACTGATGAAAATGTTTTCTGCCATTTTATTTAGCGTATGGACTTTCACAGTACGATAAATATACAAATTCAATTACATATATATATATATATATATATATATATATATATATATATATATATATATATATATATATATATATATATTATTATATATTATTCAAACACTAAAAATAGTAAAAATAGAATGAATAGAATGAATGACACTAAATATGTCATGTAAATGTCCAATTTACATAGCCATTCAATTGCTTCTGGGGAACATTCCGCAAAGTTCTGGAGGCTTCCACGGTAGGCACGATTCAAGCAGTCTGAAACACAATGGCTTATGGTCTGTCTAGATTCTCCGCAATCGCACTGTGGACTTTCTGCCCGACCCCACCTGAACAGCGAATCAGCACATTTACCATGTCCGGTACGTATACGATTAAGCCTTGCCCAAATGGACCGGGGCAGATTTGATCCGATGAAACCCTGAGTTGGGGTGGATATCTTAATATAGTCCGATTCTACTGTTGGCATCCATCTTGTTGTCCATTGCCTACGTATATCATAGGAATTACCAATTTTTCGGGCAGATCGTATTGGAGGATTTCTAGATCTCAATCGTTGGTGCTCTTTTGAGATGTCTGGGATATCTTGATGTATTGGTAATTGTACGTTGGCTACAATTTTCTGGTACTCTCTCACTAATGCTGCTGTACGGCGTAGATCTGGTGGAGCAATATTGCTCAGAGTAGGCAGCCATCTCACTGGCGTTGATTTTATTGTTCCAGTGATTATTCTTATGGTTTGGTTAAGTTGGACATCGGTTTTGCTTGTATGTGCACTATTTAGCCATACTGGTGCACAATATTCTGCCACTGAAAAAACCAAAGCTAGAGCAGAGGTCCGAAGAGTATCTGCAGAAGCACCCCAAGTTGTTCCAGCAAGTTTTGATATTAAGTTATTTCGTGTTCTTAGTTTACCGGCTGCGTTTGTAAGATGACTTTTGAAGGTGAGTGTTCTATCAAGTGTGACGCCTAGATATTTGGGGTTGTTGTTATGTTTGATAACTTTATCATTTAGAGTTACATTGAGAGTATCGCCCGCAAGTTGATTCGACAGGTGAAAGAGACAGGTTTCAGTTTTGCTTGTGTTAGGACGTAAGCGCCAGTTCTTAAAATAGTTACTTAGTGTAGATAAGTCCTCGTTTAGAGCTCGTTCTCCTGCTCCTTTACTATTATCTTGGAAGCCAATGGCCAGGTCGTCAGCATAAGCAAATTTTCTCGATTTTGTTTTAGGTATATCTGCTGTATAAAGGTTAAATAGTAAAGGAGCTAGCACTGAGCCTTGAGGTAAGCCGTTGTTAAGTTTTCTAACGTTACTCTGTGCATCATTCATATATACCTGAAACAGTCTATTAGTCAGTAGATTGTTTATCAGCTGACAAGTTTTGAGGCAAGGTATGATTTTCATCAGCTTATATATGAGGCCCTCTCTCCATACCATGTCATAGGCAGCCGTGAGATCTATAAATGTTATGGCAGATTTTTCGCGTCTTTCAAAGCCAGCTTCAATAAATGTAGTTAAGGACAGCACTTGGTCACAGCAACTTCGTCCTCTTCTAAATCCAGCTTGTTTAATTGGTACAGCATCCTCCATGGTGTTACATATTCGGTTATATAAAAGTCGTTCTAGTAATTTATAACAGCAACTGAGTAAGGCAATAGGCCGGTAACTTTCAGGCAGCTTGTTGTCTTTGCCAGGCTTCTGGATTGCGATAATTTTTGTTCTTTTGAACTCTGGGGGTAGCACAGTTGTATTCACAATGTCGCTAAAGAATTTTTTGAGCCACTGTCGTGTTTTTGTACCAGTGTGGACCATAAACTCAGGATACATTCCATCGAAGCCTGCTGCTTTTCCTGTTTTAGTTTGGTTAAGCGCTTCGTTTATTTCATCCAATGAGAAGGCACGTGAGTATTCTGATGTTGCGGGAGTATTTGCTTTAAGTTGTTTAAGAGCTCTTTTTACGGTAGATGTATGAGTTTTCTCAGATGGAGCTCGGGAGTTCTCAATTATTCTATTGGCTATTTTATTTGGCTCAATTGTTGATCTGTTTAAGTGTTGCGCTCTGCTTGCTTCGCCCAGTTTGCGGATCAGTCCCCATGCTTTTCGATTGAAACGTGAGAAATCAATATGTTCTACGGTAGACTTCCATTTATTAAGTTTTGCCATACGAACTGTTAAACACTGTATTATGAAGTATACTTGAAATATCCTGGAGTAGATGGGATCTTCTTATCATTAACTAAATGTTTCAAAAAATTCTTCAGTGAAAAATAAATCAAACTTAAAAAGTGAAGATACCTATTATGAGGAAACTTAAACAAAAGACAAAAATAAAATAAAGATAAATTCTTCTTGCTCTTCATTCTTGTATGTAGGCTTTAGAGCCTGTTTATTCTTCAACATTAGCTTTCTAAATTGTTTAAATCATGGCACCATCCATTTATGTCTTCTACATTGCATGCTCTTCTTATGTTTTCGCTTCTCTCCCTATCCAACAGACTTTCCTCTGATATTCGTCGAAATATTTTCATTTCTATTGTTTCTAGTAGTCGTCTCGTTTTAGATATCTCAGGTCTTGTCTCCGCTGTGGATGTTAATATAGGTCTAATTGCTGCTTTATAGATTCTTGTTTTTGTGTCTTGTCTTAGGTCAGATTGTGTCACTAAAAGATCTCGCCGCTGGATTTGGATTTTTTTATTCCCCATTCTGTAGCAATGTCCATAATGGATCTTCTTTAAGTTTGTAATGGACGACCTCTTTTTCTTCTTCCTTGGGGATTCCAATCTTGGGCAATCTTTGCAATACTGTAATTATTTTTCTGAATGTGTGACCAATCCAACTCCACTTTCTGGACTTAAGTTGATGTTCTACTTTTTTTGTTCGGTCAGCTGTAGTATATCATCGTTTTTGATGATGTTAAGCCAGAAAATACGAACAATTCGTCATAGACATTTATTAATAAAGACCTGCAGTTTATCTGTAAGAGTTTTTGTCACTTTCCAGGTTTCACATCCGTAAAGTAGAACAGACATAACATTTGACTGGAATATGCGGATCTTTGTCCTTGTAGTATACCCGCCAGATCTCCAAAAAAGGTTGAGCATTCTAAATGCTTGTTGAGCAAGGTTGAGCATGCTTGTCTTAGTACAAATATGGCGCCTACGCAGGATCTTCTGGATCTGAATTCTTGTTGTTCATCGGATAAAGTTGCTAGTTTATTGATTGTGTTGGTTAGTACTTTTGTGGTAAGCCTTAGTGCAGTGTTCAGTAGGTAAATATATACCTCTATAATTCTTGGGGTCGTCTTTATCTCCTTTCTCGAACATTAGTATCATTATGCTGTTTCTCCATGCGTCTGGTATCTTGCAGTGCAATATTAATAAAGTTTTGTCATCTCTAGGGTTATACTTTCTTCTACGTGTTTTAGAAGCTCGTTGGTTATTCTGTCTAGTCCTGGTGACTTTCTATTTTTGAGTGAATTTATGACTATCTCTACTTCCTGAAAACTGATTTCTATTTCGTGTCTTAATTCAGGTACGTTATTGTCTTGATTATCAAAATAAATACAGAACCAAAATCAAGTACTAACAAAGTGGTTTGAACGGTGGGATGTACATACTTTGTTCTTCTTGTATGACAGGTTAACTAGATTGGGAAAGCTGTAGATCATTGTCAGGTTGCCTTTTAACGGAACATAAACTGAAGTATACAAACAGAACCCAAAACAGAAATGCAGATACAAGAGAACGTATAAAAATTAATCAAATAATAGTACGGAACGATATAAGACAACTCAAAATGATAAGTCATCAGAACCAGGAGGAAACCAGGCTAAATTGTCAAAACCTGGAAAAGAAAAGTTCTTTGAATTACCTACTTGCTTACATATGCAGCGATCCTAATAAAGGCTAAAATATTGTTAGGCCATCGAACATCGCTCATCCGTTTTACGTGGCCGTACCAAATTAATTGTCAGGATGCTATTCAGTCATCAATAGTATTTGTTACTTTTGAATGTTCTATAATTTTTTCGTTTCGGATACGGCCAATCGAGAAATTCTGCAAGAGTTTCTTAGAAAATCCATTATATAGCGATAAAGTCTAGCGTTTTAATCCTAATTCTATCCTTATTCTATTGTGTTATTCTTTAACATTTTATGGCATATTATGTTGTGATGGGTTCCAATATGCTCCGATATAAGCTAGTTTCGTTTACACCCTTATAATTTTGGACTATAACTGTCTACCTGTTGTCCTGGAATAATTTTGTTAATTATATCCAGTCTACTGTTATCATCTTCGGTGATATAAGTTTTCAGATATTTATACGCCTAACAACCGTTATAATCCCATTTTTGAGTCTTCTAGCTGTCCACCAACCAGAAGATGCTCCGTTTTTTGTATGTTTATCTTTAACCCCCATTTGGTACACTCTTCGATTGCTTTCTGGCCTTGAATGCTACGTCATCTTCAACAAAAATGTATACAGGCAGTCTTCTTTCTATAGTAATGTATAGCGAGCAGTTTCGAAGAGTTATGTCCTCTTTTTGTTTCACTACGAATGTATTATCCTAACAGGATCTACCAGTGTGAAATCCGCTATGTTCTTTGATGCCTTGGAGTCTTCTAGCTGTTCACCAACCAGAAGATGCTCCGTTTTTTGTATGTTTATCTTTAACCCCCGTTTGGTACACTCTTCGATTGCTTTCTGGCCTTGAATGCTACGTCATCTTCAACCATAATGTATACAGGCAGTCTTCTTTCTATAGTAATGTATAGCGAGCAGTTTCGAAGAGTTATGTCCTCTTTTTGTTTCACTACGAATGTATTATCCTAACAGGATCTACCAGTGTGAAAACCGCTATGTTCTTTGATGCCTTGGAAATATTTTTCAATTCTTTCTTTTAAAACTTTATATAGCCTTTATATAGCCTATAAAACTATATACAGCCTTTCAATATAACTGGTTACAACAATACCTCTATAATTGCTTAAAATTTTTTACATCTTTTCTTATATATTGAGCCGATGAATGATATCTGCCAACCTTTTGGCGATGTCTTGTATCATGTCTTCATTCATAAGACCTTTATTAACATATTTGTAATTTTTTCAATTAGCGGATATGAAGCATTTTTTACCAGTTCTATAGGTAGGCCTACAAATCTTGCTACTTTCAAATTGTTCATACTATTTAGAGCTTTTTTATTTTCTTTCTTAGTAATAATTTCTAGTTTCTCAGTAATTCCTTGAAGTTTAAATCAATTTCTTACCATAAATTCTGGTCTATCCCTAGTTAGCAAATTTTTATAATGATCTTCACATTCTTCAATTTTTATTAGCGATACATTAGTAGAGTATATTTGATTTTTTCTTAAACTTTTCAGTGTTTTATAGTATACGCTTGTTCCTCTCATACAATCTGTGTATTTCGGTGCATTTGCTTTGTCATTTTTTCTGCATGACACTTTTCTTCACATCTCTATTTAACTGAGCATCTATTTTTCTATCTTCTCCTTCTTGTAAAACTAATCACGCTTGATATACTTTCTTTTTGCCTTCTATCAGATATGCTTAATCTTCTGACCAACATTCTGAGTGTTCCCTTTTCTTTGCTTTCCTGTCAGTGATTCTTTGCTGCACTATAAATAGCTTTCTTTAACTTCAACGTTATTTATTTTGCAGCCAGTCTCCATTTATACAGAAATTATATTGGCTCTTGTCTCAGGCTTTGCAAATTGCATTTGGGTATCGTTAGTCCAGTCAATTTATATCCATAATGTCCATACTGAGGATGGGAAAAGGGCATCTCAATAAATGGTCATAAACTAAATAACCTACGTTTCGCAGACGACACAGCCCTTCTTGCAAAAGTCAAACAGAGCTGATGAAACTTATACGACTGATCAAAAACGAAAGTCAAATATTTGGTCTGCAATTAAACATATCAAAGACAAAGATCATGATAGTGGATAGACTACATAACAATCATCCACACATAACCACAATTGACAGGTTCGAGGTTGTGAGCTCATACTTATATCTCGGATCATTAATCACAAACACAGGGTCATTACAAGAAGAGATTAAACGTAGATGTGATCTAGCAAAAGTTGCCACAGCAAAAATGACCAAAATATGGAAGGACTGTCAAATTTCAAGAGCGATAAAGATGATGTTGATCAACTGCTTAATATTCCCAATACTGACCTACGGATGTGAATCTTGGACTCTGAGACAATCGGAGAGAAGAAAAATAGACGTCACTGAAATGTTCTGTTGGAGACGAATGTTACGAATTTCTTGGACCAACCGTAGAACAAATAGTTCAATTTTAAAAGAGCTAAAAGTTAGCCAACAACTCTCTAGTAAAGTCCATCTCCAACAATTAAAATATTTTGGGCATGTTATGAGAGCAAACACAGAAAACCTGGAAAGACTCATAATACAAGGAAAGGTAAAAGGCCAAAGATCACGAGGAAGATCCCCCTCAAGATGGATAGATCAAATTACAGGAATATGCCAAAGACCTATGCATGAATTAAAAGAAATGACCAGTGACAGATATCTCTGGAGACGGACAATACACCACATCACGTCGACCACTACACTCCCCTTGGGGGGTCAGGATTGAATAGAGAGAGTCCATACTGAGAATGTCAATTTTAGAACTCCAAAAAGGTGCAAAAAAGTTTATAACTTTTACCTTCGGCTTCTTCCTAACACACCCCTTGTAGTATGAGAAAAACAGAAAACATCGTTTTACACAGAATCTCAGCTAAATTTTTCAAATAAAAAATCTGTATGGGAGACATTAGAATAATGATGGTATTTCGGAAGAAATCAATATTTTACCTAAGTATTTTTTGATCAAACGTTTAATTTTGAAGCAGAGAATCTTCAGTATATATATATATATATATATATATATATATATATATATATATATATATATATATATATATATATATATATATATATATATATATATATATATATATATATATATCCAATTATTAATCTATCAACAACTTATTTTTCTTCACTTCAAGGATAAGGATTTCAAGCCTGTTCCGTCCTCAGTCTTGCCATCTTCTTCGGAGTTGGCCTACGCGTCTTCTTCCGAGTGGTTTAGATTTTTGTTGTATTCGGATATGGAGAATATATTTAATTCAGCATTTATTTCTTTATTTCTGATTTAGTCTCTCAATGTGAATCCTTTTGTTTTCCTTAAAAATTTAATTTTAACATACATTGGAATTTGATATCTTTTTTGGCATTTTTAATTAATATTTTTATCGTATGCAGATGGTTGCTTGTACTGAATCCTTTTCTAAAACCGGCTTGCACTCTTGACTGGTAATTATTTAACTTAGTTGTTAATCTGTTTGTTAGTAGTTTAGTTAACAGTTTGTACATTACATTAAGAAGCGTTATGGGCCTATAGTTTTTCAGACCTTTTCTATCGCCTTTCTTAAATAGTAATAGTGTTATTACCTCGTTTCATGTGGTGGGTATTTGGTTTGTTGATATAAGGTTCACTGCTCGAATAAATGAACTTTAATAAAATAAAAGGCAGATATCGAGCACTATTTTATTAATTAAATCTTGCCCAAGTACTTTCGCTTTCTAAAGCATCTTCAGAAGCATTTCGTCAACTTTGGGCTATTTAACAAACGCAGAATGTAATAAACATAACATTAAACATATAATTGTACAAACACTACACTAAACAAGGACAAACAGTTTAAAATTAGTCGAAGCTACATTTTTGTCGACAACAGGAGAGATAATGATGTTTAATGCAATGTTTATTGCATTTTGCGCTTGTTGGATAGCCCAAAATTAACGAAATGTCTCTGATGATGCTTTAGAAAGCGAAACTACTTGGGCAAGATTGAATTAATAAAATTCTGCTCGACATCCGCCTTTCATTTTATCAAAGTTTATTTGTTTTGTGTTCAATATTTTATTCATTAGTAGATAAAGGACTTTCACTGTAGTTTTCCCCCCATTTTTTAGCATTTTCACAGTTATTCCATCTTTCCCAGAAGATATGTTATTCTTCATTTCTTTGAATGCCTTTTTTATTTCATTTTTACTGATTTCTGGTTGTAGGTCAGAGTTAACGTTGTTTATTTTCAGTTGTAACTGATTACGGATTTCTTGGGTTGGTTTTTGTTTTGTTTTATAGAGATTTGTATAATATTCGTGCGTTATCTGTAAAATTTCTTTTATATTGTTGGTCTCCACTCCTTCTTTGTTCTTTATGCTATTAATTTGTATGTTTCCCAGGTTCTGCTTTAAGCACTTCATGTTTCTATTTTTTTTTTCAATTGTTTTCTCTATCTTTTCTTGCTGTACTCTCCGTTTACACTCTTTGATATTTATTCTAATAGTTTTGTTTATTTCTTTGTATTCCATTTTATTTTTGTCCCCTTGTTCTAGTAATGTTCTTCTTGTGTTCATAAGAATCTTTGTTTCCTAGGATATGAAACTTTCTTTTTTTGTTGTCGTCTGTGCTACTTCTTTATCTACTTTCATTAGAGTTTCAGTAAATATCATGTTTATTTCATCGATATGTCTCTGTTCTATATCTTCCTCGGTCGGCAATATTTCCTTTATTCTCTCTTCGTACGTCTGTTTTTTTGTTTTAGTTTTTCCATGTCTAATTTCTAATTATTTTCCATTTTCTTTCTTGTTTCAAATCTACTATCAATGATCAGCTTGGCTAGGACTAGTCTATGGTTGCTACCAGTTGAGAAGCGATTTAGGACTGTTACGTCTTTAATAATGGATTTTTGCGTTGAAAGAATATAATCAATTTCGTTTTTAGTTTCACCATTGGGATTAACCCATGTCCATTTTCTTTGGAGTTTTTTCTTAAAGAATGTAATCATTCCATATAGTTGTTCAAGTAATTCACCAACGTGTGTCCTCCTTGCCGTATCCATGGTGTCCTATTTTGTCTTCTTCTTTATATAGTTGTTCATATTTTGGCATTGAAGTTCCCGATTATTAGCGTTAATTTTGATTTCTTTTTTCCATAGCTGTTGTTATGTCTTCATAGAAATGTTCAATATCTTCATCGCTGTAGGTACTTGTTGGAGCGTACACCTGTATGATTTTTAAGGACGTTCTTTTTTAATTTAAGCGTCGTGTATGCTACTCTATCTGATATGGTCTTGGTAGATTGTATGTATTTAACTACTTTTTTATTTATTATAAATCCTACTCTATTGTTGGTGTTTTCTTCATTACGTTTATAGTATAGCAAATTTCCTGATTTTAGCTGAGTTTTTTGTTCTCCTTTTCTTCTTACTTCGGATATGCCGATAACATCCCACTGTATTTTAGTTAGTTCTTCCTCTAGTTCGTTCACCCATATCTGGGAGGCATTCCCCTATCCGCCACCCGGGGACGTGCACCATGGGGGACTATACCCCACACGGGTTATTATTATATTATAATATACCTTTTATAAAAGAATTTATTTAAATATAAATTTTTTGTGATACATGGTATACAGCTAGCTACAGGAATTCAGTTTTGTTGGGGATTTCAAACATATTGTTTTGTTAAATAAAACATTTAGGTATAATAGTAATTATTTTATTCTTAAAATAAGAGTAATATAAAATTTATAGTAATAAGCTATATAGTCTGTGCATAAACACTTAAAATTATTAACCAATAACAATTACATGGTGTCATTTATATTTACAAAAATATCTTCATGAACAAAAAATGAAAAAATACCGAAGCGATATATTAGATTCATATAGTCATTAATACTAAATATTGTTAGCCTCATAGATGCTTAAAAGGTAAATGTTGTAAATATAATAAACTGATTCGAGTTTTTAAAAGCATTTTTTGTTGGTTACAATTTGTATACCATAATCAAAATAATTAACATTTTTACAAATAGACATTTCTAGTTGAGCTACATTTTATTTCTGGATGGATTCAAAGACGGTATTTGCCAAAACATTTATTAGTGGATTTCGTGTACCTTGCATGCTCATACCTGTGCGTCGACATGTTGCATTGCCGTGAAGTATTGTTAGTTTTGTAGAGATAGTACTCCTGACCATGGTGCAGTAGACGAAATTTGGTTTAGTCCCGACTTCCATGCGAAACGCATTGTATTATGCACTGTATAATTCCACTTACAATAGAAGCTTTCTGCCTTTACGTGAATTTGACTCCGCCTTCGTGCGGTTCCATGGTCAGGAGTGTTTGAACTACTTTTTACGAATGTTGTGCTATGTGGTTGGAAGTAATAACGGATATTGCGTTGGAGGAAAAACTGTTCATAGCATTATTTTCGCTCGTACGGAAATGGTTATTAAGACCGACCAAATTTACAGTTAGTCGAGGAATATCATAAAGACTTTAATAAGCCGGTACCAAACAACACAGTTATGCTGTTTATCGTTACACAATATCGTCGTGCGGGTAATGTGCTGTGTCAACGGAAAGCAAGGTCTGGTGGGTCAGTAACTGAGTCCGCAAACGAAAATCATAGATGTGTCCTAAATCAGTTGTTGGCGAAGTTACCACTAAAAACAGAAGTCAGACAGAAGAGAAGGTAGTCAAACCATCTATTCAGGTTCTTAGAAGGTTTCGTCGTGCTGATATAGAAATAATATTCTAATGAATAGTGATTCTAACGTCGGAGCGACCGGCTAAACTGCTCGACAACATGTGACTATACTACAAGAAACCATTTTCCGATGGACTTTCCTACACCCATTGCATTCCGTTGTTATGATACCGTGTGATGCTTATATCTGCGAAATGTTAAAGAAATACATATTCAGCTATCCAGATCCACTTTCTTCAGGACTCTGAACTAACCTCTGTTGCGAAATATGTTTCAAAATCTGCATGATCATGATAAACACTGTTTACAACGCAATGGAGCACATTTTAAAAGTTAATTATCATCCCGATAACTAAATACTTTTCAATTATGTATATTTTATCATTTTTATTGGTTTCATCATATGATTAGGTTTTCTCATTGATGTTTTTTAAACACCATTAAAACCCCATAAGCTAAAGTTTAAAAAACATAGCAAAAAGAAGAAAATTCTGTAACTAAACAAATAAATAGTTTATTGAAAAACTCAAAAATTTAAAATTAAATTTGGCATTAATATTTTATAATTATAATAAAAGTTAGTAAATGCTGAAATTTACAATTTACAAATGACCAATTTATAAGTTTTCTGTAACGGTTAGCAATAATTAGAACATATTTCTAATAAGAAATAGATCAGAAATATGATATAACATCAAAGAACTGAAATAGCTCTTAGAATTGATTGAGAAGTATCTTGGATAACGAGAAGTTGGTCACTCGGTGTGTAAGAATTTGGCAGACACCCAAAGCCTGATCTAGTATTTGGACCTAGTATATTATGGACTACCGTCCATATCAGCCACTTACTGTAAATCCACAATTCAAAATATGGATTACAGACAATATTTTTTATTTATATAAATATCTCTAATGACGGCACCACACTTCGCTATTTGGTATTCGTTATGCGCCATATCGGCCGCATAAGATGAAGTGTGGAGGGTACATTTGTCAATTATTTGCTTTATTCGCACGCATAAACAAATACCCGAATATTAAATAGGCCTATCCGTCCACTTCTCCGTTTTTTTACACACTTCAAGGACACGAATAAGCTGAATGAACGCCGAATATATGTGTCGACTGTGAGTCGACGGTGAGCCCACACTTCGCTCGCACCGCTGCGCTGGTTGTCTCGATGTTTATCTTAAGCTAACTTTATTGTAATTTTTGTTATTCTTGAACCATTAATTTGACAAATTTGTGTGTTTAACTAAAACTATCGTACCTATTACCTACGTTTTGATTTGAGGTGTACCTACTGTGAAATGCAGTGCACAAATGAAAAGGTAATTAGATTCCTGGATTTAAGTAAAAATAAGTCACAACGACTGTCAATACGTCCACGTCCATTTTGATTCTACCAAACACGCATGACGCAAATATTTGGCAATTTTAGCACACCGGTACAAGTGTGAAGTAGCGTATTTGTTAATCGCTGACGAATAACAAATATTTGGGCGAATACAATAAAGCAGCAGAACAAATAATACATAGCGAAGTGTGGTGACGCAATAATACTTGTCTTACAACACTTGTGACTGAAGCTATTCTTTATAATCAATTGTGCAGCGACACAATGAGCAATTGTATATTTTCTTATCAGTATATTATCAAATATCTTGTTTTTCTCTTCTTCTAGCCTATTTTTAAACTATTTTCTTTCATTCTACAACTAATTTCTAAGAGAAAACAATAACAAAACAATATATCAAAAAAATAACGGAAAAAAAGATATCAAAGAGCAAACACAGCAAAACTATTACACTGGTTCAAACAAAAGATGACCGAATATGCAAGTACTGAAAAAAAATCCTAGAGTTATAAACATGGCGGTAAACGCGAGAGGAAGATCAAGTTAAAGGGCGAGATGAATATTAAAGTTATCGAACAATTAAAGCTAATAATATGTGAGAACAAATCATGAATAGACGATTAAGAAGACAAATAAGCTCCTACTTGCTCGATCAAAACCTAAATTTATCAACAGTAAAATGCATCTTTGCACCCATTCTGCGGTCACAGAATATTGCAAAGAATTCGTATTGTCTACATTAGATGAAAAAATATGTCCAAAATTAATAGATTATCTACTAATCACATAGAATTACATCTCTAACCTAGAGAAGAAGGATGGTTACCATCTACCCAGAACCCAAGTTTACGCAAAACCACGATATGTAATTATTTATCAAAGATTCCTCATTGCGCAATTTAAAGAAACAATTTGTAATATACACATATAAATTTTATATGCTAATTATAATAAATTAGCGAATTTTATACGCAAGAAAAACTCAAAAGCCAAGGTGAAGAACAAAAACAGATAGACAAGAATACGAAGAAAAAATTAATTCGTTGTTAACTCAGATTAACGGAAATGAAGATTAGGCTGCAAAAGAGGAAGATTCTTAAAAATAAATTAAAGAACTACATCTCAAAAATAAAGAAAACAGAAAAATTACGAGACGCATTTGCAATTTCCAGAACTGCTGATAGAAAACTGTTAAAAATCAGAGCCCATTAAATTCAATGATATCTCATTAGAACATAGCTTCAGGGATTACGATAGTGAAAACAAGAGGTGTAAAGACAATATGGGTAAAAACAGAGTGCGAAAATTAATCTTTGAACCAGTTTTATGATGATTTTAAGAGACCGAGCAACGACGAGAATGAACTTCCAAAGAACTGCCACAAGAGAATAAAATTTTGTTTTGGGTAGATGATGACAACCACGAGCCAAAATTTGCTTTTATCATTTCATCTACTTCATCTTCATTCGCAGAAGATTGTACAATTTCGGTAACTTCTACAAAGCTAAACTGATTTTATTACTATTATATCGAAAAACACATTTATTGTCGTTAGAAAACAAATCAAAATTAGGAATTAGAATCTCAAATTAATTGCTAACTGATAGATATTCACTTGACGATATAATGTTAAGTATCAACTGTCCCTTTGTGAGTTTGTGAGAGTTAACAGATATAGTAAAGAATCATTATCAATTATATGTGTAAATTAAATCATTTGATTTAATTTACACATATAATTTACTTTTTAAATCCTCTTAACTTAGGCGTTTGTTTGTGGAACAATGGGCTAACTGTAAGCTTTGCGCATGCTCAAAATTTGACTTATTAGAATGAAATTAAATAAATGTCACAATAATCACAGTATTAGGTGTAAAGAAAAACGTATCGATAAGAGATTGCGAAAACTAGAAACAAGGTTAAAGATCAAAATGTGGGTAGCGGGATGTAGATCTTACTTTAACTCATATGACTGCTCTCATACATATAGAAACTAATTTAGTTTTGCATGACCTTGCAAAATATTCTTTCATTCAACAATATCAAACTTTTTCTGTTGTCTTTCATAGCTGTACATTTCTGACACCTAATCTGACATTTGATTGAACACTAAAGATACTGTATTAGATTCAAATCTGGGTTTTTTGGTGGACAACTCATACTTGAATATTTACAAATCGATAGTCTGGTATCTATTGTAGAGCCGAACGTTATCCTGTTAAAAAGCTAATTTGCCGCAAGATTCACAATAAATAAGGTAGTTTTTTTTTGTATGTATAAATCTAATCTAATATGCTGCTAGTGAAACAGTTTCTTCCTAAACATCACACAATACACACGCATTCCTATTTTAGACCTTGCAGGTTCAAGGTTTGGATTGTAAACCTGTCTCGACGCATGATTTTCACTCACCTCTTACTCTCTCTCTTCCGTTATTTAACGATTTTTGAAAACTAGTGGGAAAATTACTGACTGAAATTTTGTCTTTGATCTTCCGGTACGCAGCAGCAGCAAAAGAAATAGTCACACAAGTTATTAGCTGAAGTAAGCAACACCATTTTTGTTGTAGTTATTATTCCGACCTTACTTCAACATTCCAGTAAATAATTTTCAAGGCAATTAATTTTATATAATAAAATGCAAATTGTAACCAACCTAAAAGCTCAAATCTTTCAGACTTTCAATCATAACAGTATTTTTTCAACAGTCAAAACAATAGTTTAAATAATAAAACCTGTATCAATATTTAAACCAATCAAGCAGCACCCCCTTGAGGTTGCTCTTCATTATCCGAACTTAGAGCACAACCTGCGAGACAGCAAATGCAACAAAGGAAAAAGATAAATCCTGCTATCATTACAAAAGCAAACGACAATATAAATGTAATGTATACAAAAGCCATCATATAAGCAGTCTTCTGGCAGTAGGCGTGTCCAAAACTAGGGTCGTATTTCGGTGGATATTCCTTGTACACCCAATAGGCTCCTGCAAAATAAAAAACAATTGTTATTGTCAGTTTAAAGATTCAAGCATACAAAATTATAGAAGGTACAACTATGGAAACCTATATAATTATAAAAACCGTTTTGTTTTCTTGTGGCATGTCTAAGGTTAAATATTATATGGCAGGGGTGGCCAACTTAATCGGACTCGAGATCTACTGTTTGCTTTTCTAATTCTTTGCGATCTACCGACTAGGAATTTTTTAACGATACTGGCGAGCCCATAATGGCCCACATAACGACCATACATAAAAAAGGCAGTTTCCATAAATGCAACAATTATAGAATTATCTTCCTTATATCCCATGCCAGCAAGATAATGCTACATATAATCAATGAGAGACTGAAAACATTCCTTCAAAGAGAAATTCCACTAGAGCAAACTGGATTTACCAAAGGTAGAGGCACTCGAGAACACCTGCTGAATATAAGACAGATAATCGAGAAATCTAGGGAATTTAACATCCCACTATACATCTGTTTTATAGATTACCGTAAAGCGTTCGACAGGGCCAAGTGGAGACACTTATGGCGAATACTAAAAGAAGTAGGCGTACCACAACATCTAATTACGCTTATAACCGAACTATATGAACACACTACTGGATCAGTTAAAGTACTTGACACACTTTCGAACGAGTTTCATCCAGAACGGGGTGTCAGACAAGGATGTATACTATCTCCACAATTATTCAACATATATGGGGAGTATATTATTCGAAGAGCACTTGAAGGATGGGAAAAGGGCATCTCAATAAATGGTCATAAACTAAACAACCTACGTTTCGCAGATGACACAGCCCTTCTTGCAAATAGTCAAGCAGAGCTAATAGAACTTATACGACTGATCGAAAACGAAAGTCAAATATTTGGTCTGCAATTAAACATATCAAAGACAAAGATCATGATAGTGGATAGACTACACAACAATCATCCACACTTAACCACGATTGACCGGTTAGAGGTTGTGAGCTCATACTTATATCTGGGATCATTAATCACAAACACAGGGTCATTACAAGAAGAGATTAAACGTAGATGTGATCTAGCAAAAGTTGCCACAGCAAAAATGACCAAAATATGGAAGGACTGTCAAATTTCAAGAGCGATAAAGATGAGGTTGATCAACTGCTTAATATACCCAATACTGACCTACGGATGTGAATCTTGGACTCCGAGACAATCGGAGAGAAGAAAGATAGACGACACTGAAATGTTCTGTTGGAGACGAATGTTACGAATTCCTTGGACCGACCGTAGAACAAATAATTCAATTTTAAGAGAGCTAAAAGTTAGCCAACGACTCTCTAGTAAAGTCCATCTCCAACAATTAAAATATTTTGGGCATGTTATGAGAGCAAACACAGAAAACATGGAAAGACTCATAATACAAGGAAAGGTAGAAGGCCGAAGATCACGAGGAAGATCCCCAACAAGGTGGATAGATCAAATTACAGGAATATGCCAAAGACCTATGCATGAATTAAAAGAAATGACCAGAGACAGAGATCTCTGGTGACGGAAAATACTCGACATCACGTCGACCACTACACTCCCCCTGGGGGGTCAGGATTGAAGAGAGACTGGCGAGCAATAAAACTTTTAATCCAGAATTTTAATATTAAGTGACATGAATATCTCACTATATCTCAGAAAATCAATCACTGTATGTTTTTCAATGTGCCTCTAGTAAGTTGTCGTTCCATCATTTGAGGTATATCTACTGATCGTCTTCCTATTAGCTAACCATCTCTTGCCGTCTAGACTACTCTATTTGTTTTCATTTAGCTGATATGATCGTTCCATTCTACTCTTCTAATTTTTACCCAGTTCTTGATGTTGTCCACCTTGCATCTACGTCGTATATCTGTACTTCTAGCTCTGTTCTATAATATATTGCCATCAATTTTTTCAGTGTTTTCATCTCTGCTATTTATAACATCTTTTTTTTTTCTGTCTGTGTCAGACCGTGTTTCTGCAGCGTATGTCATTATTGGTCTAATGACTGTTTTGTTAATTCTGCCTTTCATTTCTTTCCCGATATTTTTATTTCCAAATATTGTTTTATTCCTGTTTGATCTATTCACTTGATCTTCCACTTCAGTTTTGAGCTTTCCGCAGCTAGAGAATGTGATATTTAAACTCCATCATTTGTTCTATTATCTGATCTTCCAGCTCCAATTTACATCTTAGTAAATTTGCTATTGTAACCATGCGGTTTGTCTTTTTTGGACAAATTAACACTTTCTAGCGGCTATATTGAATTATATTAAATTCCACAAGGAATATAAGTTCCTGTAGTTGGCTGTATACCATGTACCAAAAACATTTTTTATTAAAAATCCTTTATAAAAGGTATATTATTTAAAAAACCCAATCGGGCTATATCACAAAACGTTTTCGGAATCCATATTCCATCATCACTGTCTAGGTGTACATGTATTGAGCCACTAAATACCTGGGTAAAAACCCATTAAAAATTATCTGTTTAAATTTAGTTTACATTATATGGTATTAAATATTAGGATGTTAAAGTTACCAGTGGATTTGGTAACATGGTGATATATGACTCCATATGAAGTTGCTGGTTCTGAGACGATGTGTCTACGAGGACTTGATTTTCAGTTGCTTTCACCAATGCAGTAAACGAAGACGCTTTATTAAAAGATAAAGAAGAGTGCTGTAAGCAACTATCTTAGGAAATATAAAAAATAGGAACATCAAGAGAAATACTCCTATTAGGAAAACTAAATGCGAGAACGGGCAAAAAAGTTAAAATAAAATAGTTGGTCAATTCGGAAAGGATACTAGAAATGACAATGGAGATAGGCTTATCAACATATGTAAACAACGGCTTTTTCCAGTACCGACAAATATACAAATTCACTTGGGTCCAGCAATCAAGAAATTTGAAATCCATTATAGACTATGTGATCGATCCACAAAATACCTAACTCAATATACAAGACATAAAAGCGTTTAGAGGAAGCACATGTAGAAGCGACCTCTACCTAGTAAAGGCTAAAATAATGCCCATACGACTAGCTAAGAAAAAAGAACACAACGAGGAACATGAGCAAAAACAATAGAAACCAAATACAACTTGGATAGCCTCAACCATGAAAGTACAAAGGCACTGTACAAAAAACGATTCGATAAAAAGCTCTTACAAAAAATTTTGAGAGTGTTGAGCACCATTACATAAAACAAGGTCCATCAGAAGAACCTCTGGGTAAATATGAAAAAGCCGAACGAAGGAAGCCATATTGGTGGGATGAAGAAATCAAAGAAAAAATGAAGATTAAACGAGATAAATACCACAAACACTTATACACTTATACATAAATATAAATACTGATCAAAGTAAAAACGAATATCGAACAGCCCAAACAAACGTACGAGGTGCGATAACTAAGAAGACAAACAAAAACTAAGAAAAAAACTGCTCCAGAATAAACACTTACTTGGGGGGTAGCAGAAACACTGACAGCTGGAGAATACTTCGATCTCTTCGACAAGACTAAAAACATCATCTCACTGATCAGTCTAGATAAATGAGACTAATACTTCGCAAATCTACTGGTGAAAGAAAGGGTAGAATATTTGCAAACACCCCAAACACAATCAAAGGTGTAAGTACATACAATAGCTTCCCCAATTAGGATTGATGACAAAGAACGCCAAGCATTAAAGAATAGAAAATCACCAGGCCTTGGTAATACCCCATCTGAGCTACTTAAGTACGATATAAGCAAATTATATAACCAGCTAGCCAGTCTTTACCAAAAATGTATTAACGGAGAGAGTATACTGGAGGAGTGGAGGACATCGTTTATCACTACAATACATAAGAAGGGAAGTAAAGATGTATGTGATAATTATCGAGGAATCGCAGTCCTTAGTACCATCTCGAGAGTTTACGGGAAACTCATCAAAAAGAGAATGAAAGATGAATTCTGTGATACGGAGGCCGAAGAACAGGCCGGCTTTAGAGCAGGTAGATCCACTATTGAACTATTTACTGTTACCCAGCTAATAAAAAAAAAGTAGCACAAAATCAACCAATACATCTCCTCTACATAGACCTTAACCTTAAAAAAGCTTATGATAGTGTGCCACAACAAAAACTCTGGTTAGCTCTCGAGAAAACAAATATTAGTGTAATTTTAATCAAGGTTGTTCAAGACCTCTACAAGAACAACACAAGTAAAATAAAGAAAGGTCAGGAGGTATTCAAGGGTTTAACTATCAGCAAAAGACTCAAACAGGACAAAACACTCCCACTTTGTTTAAGATCTACTTGGAGTAAGCAATGAAGACGTGGAAAAGAAAATGCAGAAGCATGAATATTTCTCTAAACGACGCAATATTGTACACATTAAGTTTTGCAGGCGACCAGATAGTGAAGGCCCAAGACTATGAAAACCTCGAATATATGACCCGTAAGCTTATTGGAAGAATACGAACTATGGATTCTAGAAATAGAAAAACAAAAAAGACAAAACTGAATACATGTATTGGGGGAATTTAACAAAATCTAATCATGGAAGAAATACAACTAGAAATAAATCACTGTCATATATACTAATATTTAGGCATGCAAATAAACAACGATGGCAAATAAGACGAAGAAATTAAATATAGAAATAACCAGGGAAGACAAGCCATTAGGCAATTAAACAGTATACTGTGGAACAAAACAATCTCCAAAGAAAACAAACACAAAACCTATAACAGCATTATAAAAAGCATTGTTACATATGTAGGTGAGGTTAGGCCACTGGAAGGAAAAAACTTAGAAGCATTATAAGCAATAGAAATGGACTTTTGTAAAAGAGCGGCTGGAAAATCAATATTAGATAGAGTTAGACAGAGGACATAAGAATAAATCAACTAAGATGGTACGGACACGTCCAAAGAATTGATGAACACAGAATACCAAAGAAAGTATTGAACTGTACACCTCATGGAAAAAGAAAGCAA